AAGCTGCCAGGATCCTGGCTGAGAAACGCCGGCAGGCCCGCGAGCAGAGGGAGAGAGATGAGCAGGAGAGGAGGGAGAAGGAGGAGAGAGAGAGGTAAGCAATTCTGTTCTAGTACTAGGCTGGAAAATTTGCTTACAGTAGGAACAGTAATGGCTTTTTACCAATTTGTTGTCATGCAACAGTCTGTTACTTACCTTTTTTTAAGGGGATTTGATTAATATGAATAAGTTCATTATAGGTTAAGGAGTTTCTAGAAGTGAAACTGCATTAGCAGTAGTAGTAACAAAAGGGATTGCAACAAAATAGCTGGTTCTTTTCATTATCGAGTCTAATATCTAATTATCCTTATGTGAAGAAAGATGAATGTCACTTCACTTTGAATCTGCAAAGCGTTAAAATGTTAGCTTTGAAAACCAAGAACATGTGTCATACAGGTATGTCATTTAAGATTGTTTCTACTGTTTTCCCTGGACTGAGTCTAGCTTTGATCACTGAACAGGTAAATGTTATGAAAACACTACCATTGAATGCTTCTAGACTTCATCTGCTCTGGGATTGTGCCAGACCTTGTCCCTCAGTAACCCCTTGCCTTTGAACCTCCAGACTGACTGAAGCAAACCCGGTCTGGATTGAGATGGAAACAGGCAACCAACTATTTTTCAAACCAGTTCATCTCAAATGCTGGTTAATCACCCTTTTATTTAATGGTGTAGTTAAATTGTATTGAGAGTTCAATGTGACCTGCATTTCCAAATCCAAAGTCTTCTGAGGTTAGTTCCTAAACTGGTCATCTTGGCAGTTTATGCTTGTAAGTGCCTTGACTTTGTTAGGCCCTGTTTTTGTTGAAAACACACCTAGCCAAGAATTGACTTGAATTGATTTTACATTTATTCATCGGGCAGGCAGGTGCACCTGGTCATGATACAGAGGGTGCAGGTCATGGTATCATAAAACAGCGACAAAACCCCCCCGCCAAAAATAACAAAACCAGTAAGGGCAGTGATTTTTAGGCTCTTGAATCTCACGCAGTGCTGCTTGACAGACAGGAAACGGTAACAAAAGAGCACAGTCAGTAAGTGAGGGTTAGTCGCTGGCCCCTGGAGTAAGGGACATCCTGAAGAGATGACTTTCCAGCTTCTTCCAGGCCATGGCGAGTCTGCGGTTCTGACGGTGGCAGCTAGGTTGTTTCACCACTAGGGGGCAGCACAGAGCATAGTCGGGGGCCTGGGATTTGCTCGCCCTTGGCCTCGGCAGTGCCGGTTGGCCTGAGGAGCCGGATCTCGGAGCCGCAGCAGGAACGGAGGGGGAAACGAGGTCACCCGGGGGGCCGAACGGGTGTCCGGCGGGGCAGGCCTCGCGCGTCCGCTCACGCCGAGGCGCGCTGTGCTGCTCCTGCAGGGTTCTCCGCGAGGAGCGGGCGCAGCAGGAGGCGGAGGAGCGCGCACAGCGCCAGGCCGAGGCCCAGAGGCTAGCGGAGGAGCGCCGGCAGCAGGAGGAGGCCCGGCAGCAGAGGGAGGCGGAGGAGCGGGCGCGGGCCGAGCAGGAGGAGAGCGAGCGGCTCCAGAGACAGGTGAGGGGGAGCTCGGCTCGCAGCACTTCCTGCTTCCTGGGCGCAGCCTCTGCGTCTCCATGGCAACAGCCAGCACACCTCTGACATCACCGCTACTTCCTTCTTGGGCCTTAAGGGAAAGTCCAGCACCAAAAGGCAGAAGGAACTGAACTTTTGTAGTCTTGAACAGAGAGGAATATGAGGAGACCTGATACACCCTGAAAAGCCTCAAAGATATCGACTCCTTCAGAATGAGCACTGAAGTATGAATTTTAGTGGAAACTGCAAGGAAGCGCACGTTAAACTGAGAACAAGAGTTAGCTCATTACACAGAGGGTCATGGGAGTCTAGAACAAGCTACCCAGCGGTGACACTGAAATCTGGACCACGGCTTCTTTCAGCTGGACAAGATCCTAGGATCCATTAGCTCCTAGCTGCCAAACGGGCTAGATGAGTTGAATGGCCTCTTCTCGTTTGTAATCTTTTTTTAAAATCTTTAAAAAATTAACTAAGATTAACATCAAAGGGGATTTTAGAGGAAGGTGAGGTTTTTTGAAATATGCATTTTCCACATTTAAGTACTGGTGTTGAGTTGGAAAGGAGTGATTTAGGTTCCATGCAGCTTGTTTTGAGTCTTTGGGCCTGACAGATTGGATGAGATGAAGATCGAGAGTTTTCTTTTTTTAATGTTAAGGAGTTGGTGCTGAATGTTGATTAAATGTGCAAACTAGTTTAAAGGGCGATATTTTACACATGGTTGGCGAAATTCCATGTAATTGGAAGACTTGGCTGAAAATGACCCTGATATTGCCAGAAACATTGTGACTCAGGATCTTCTTCCTCGAATCTGGCATTGGATCAAGACCCTGACCTTGTCTATCACTGAACTCATACCTCTTTTTCCAACCCCAAGTCTCCTCCAGACTGAAGGTCTGAAAGTGTAGCAGGGTGGCAGTGCCCAGTATGCACAGAGAGATTGCCTGTGACTCAGGTTGTAGGATTTATTTTGTAACATGAAGCAGTTGCAGTAGCTGCTGTTTTTACTGCTTTAACACATCTCTTTCCTGCTGAAGCCTGAAAGGAGTGAATTACCAAGGCAAGAAAAAAAATGAAATTGCTTTCTTGTTTTGTTTTTTGACCATGTTGGTCTGGTTAGGCTTTCAAGCGTTTGTGGAAACCTTAACAATGCTCACGTGCTTCCACCTAGTGGGAGAGGTTAGAATTGCAGCTAATGGTCTAGTGTAATTTCTCACTTCTGGTCCAGAAGATTCAGTATGACTTCTTAGCTGCTTAATGCAGCCAGTAGTTAAATCAGGCATTTTAAAATTATATTTCCAGCTTTGAAACATGAAGATGGGAAGTATGTAAAAACTCATTCATATTCTTAATTTTGAAATATCAAATCTATAGGAATAGTCAAGAATAAAAAATATAATTTCTTGCATTAGAAATTTACCTTTTCACATACCCCAGCTTGGGGTCAGAGTGCAGGGTCAGCCATTTATACGGCGCCCCTGGAACAGTTGGGGTTAAGGGCCCAACGGAGTAGGATGCCTCTGCCAGCCGCAGGATTTGAACCGGCAACCTTCCAGCCACAGGCGCAGATCCTTAGCCACAGTGCCACCGCTAATTGTAAGATAAGCTGAAATAATGAGTTTCAATTATCGGTGCGTACTTTAACCTCTTCTTGTGTCACAGGGATATTTCAGAGTGTAAAAATTTAAGGGAAAATCATTTTGAAAAGCCAGAGTTTGTACAGTCTCCTCGCTACACATTCTGTTTCACCTCGCCACCTCGGCTGGGCTTCTCCTTGTGAGCAGAGCGGGGACAGCGCTTATCCCCTTGTCCCCCTCGTCCCAGAGAGAAGAGGCCGAGGCGAAGGCCCGGGAAGAGGCCGAGAAGCAGCGCCTGGAGAGGGAGAAACACTTCCAGAAGGAGGAGCAGGAGCGCTTGGAGAGGAAGAAGGTGAGGAAGGAACCAGCCGTGCAGCAGCAGAAAAGAAATCCCCTGGTGTAGACAGGAGACTCGGTGTTCCTGGCAGGGGCACACAGGGGCGCTGAGATCACCCAGCTCTGCAGTTTGAAGACACAGGGACAGCCAGTCTTTGAGTCTGTTTTATTATTTACTTTGAACCTAACCTCTAAAGGCACAGTGAAACATAAACCAAAGGTCAGGGGTGCACACTACGTTTACATGCATTTAATTGCAAGAGGAGAGGAGGCTCTTCTTGACCCAGATGGTTGTGGGAGTTAGCTGTGGTTGAAGCTGATTACCTGGCTTCTTTTCAGACACAGTTGGACGAGATCCAGCCCCCCTCTTGTTTGTAGCCTTTCTTTTCTGTTGTGCTGGTCAGTGACGTTAGAAGACTGCGTATGGACTTCTGTCCATTCTCATGGCTTAGCATTGGGAAATGTGATCTTTTCAAAAGAGAGTCCCCCCCATCAGTTGTTTACGAATAAGAATTTCTGCTTACAATCAGGGAGCACGGTTTTTCCAAGTGACTCGAGCAGTAAAACCACAGGTTGAGCTCTGTGATTCTGGTGTCAAGGGTTCGAGTCTGGGGAGTTCCTACGCAGCAGTGCACAGCCGGCTGAGCACCTCAGAGGGTAGAGTTGGGATTTAGGGTTGTCTCAGTCCCAGCAGCAATGCGTGATCAGTGTAAACGTTCACGTGTTTGCAACAGGTTAGTTTTGACCTGAAGTAAGTGAATGGGCAGGGCTGTGAAGGGAGTAAATACAACAGATCACCTTGAGAAAAGGGAACACCTCCTTCTATAGTAATTGTGGTAGGTCTCTCGGATTGTGGGTTTTCACTTGTCCCACACAGGCTATTGCTGGGACAGTGGGACCAAATGGCCCGATCAAGTCTTGCCCATGTGTGCCAAGCAGAGTGAATCTCTGCAGTGCTTCTGTGCTCCGTTTCAGTGGGAATAGTCTGCTGGAACAGCATGCACATCTTCAAAGGTCTGTAACCCACATCCCTATACAGCTCACAGTGTCCTAAAACCTTAGCATTGGTCCTTCCCCAACCTGCTGCAAGTGCCTCACTACTGAGAAACTCCTACAGCTAAGTACCTTTTACTTGTGATTCAGAAAATTTAAAATACTCTGACTTTTACTTGAATTGCAAACCATCTGGAATCACGATGGAGGAAATACACATTTGAAAAGGGTCCTGAAATGTGAATAATAATTTGTTTTTCTTTCAGTTTATATCCAGATATGATGTGAGGAGTACAAGCTTGTCTGACTGGTGTTCCTTGTGTTTACATTTTAGCGTTTAGAAGAGATTATGAAAAGGACACGTAAAACGGACGGTGGAGAAAAGGTATGCGTCCTGCTCATTTTATTTCTCAAATTTGCAGCCTGTCCCCCCCCTTTCCCCCCCTGGTGCATTTGAAACATTTTCCAAAGATGTCCAGGAAACGAACCCTTGACCTCTTTCCCCTTGCAGAAAGACGCCAAGTCTTCCTCTTCTGCTCAAGTGAACGGCAAAGACGCCAAGGCGGATCCCAAGGGAAGAGAGGGTAAGGGCAGCTGGGATGTCCCCTCTCTATTACTGCACAGAGCTCCGTTGCATTGGCTTCACGGGTCCTGTCAGTTGTAGTGTTTTGGGTGTTTTAACTGCAAGTATCACCTTTATTACGGGTTACAGAGTCTCAGACCACACCGCCCACTCTCCTGCCGCCCTAACCTGCTCACCAGGCATCGACAGAGCCAGTCCTTCAGACTTCTTCAGTATCAGCAGTGAAGCGTTCAAAACTGAGAGCAGAAGGAGACACGCCTTTACACAAAGGGATGTGGGGCTGTGGAACTGCACACCCAGATTTCTTTCAGGAAACAGATCCTTGGATTAATTCACTCCGAAATGGCCACGTGGGCTGGATAAGCTGAATGGTCAGCTCTCTATTGTCAGATTCAGTTTAATTTAGCTCTAATTCTGCCTCCTTTGCATAGTTTTTATTTTCTTTTATTAGAAAAGAGATTTCTTTATTAGTATAAGGCACATTTTAGTCTTGGAGAGTCAAAGACTGCAGCTTTTGTAGGTCCCATGAATCCCTCATCTCCTACAGACACCTAACAGCCACTGTAGCAGTTCAAGATTGCAGTGCCTCAGCTGTCAATCTGTCTTCATGTGGTACATGTGAACCAGCTATTCCACAAGAAACCAGGCCTCTTGTTGTTACTTTGCAAGCACAGCTGTAGGATACCGGTGGTACATTCTAATGAATACTTTCAGACTTGGAGCAGGATGTGTTTTTATGTGGTGTGATTCATAAATGGCTAATTAATCTGTGGGCTGCCTCGCCTCACCTGTTTATATTCACTAGAGCCTTGTGTTGCATGGCATAGCAAATAGCTGTCTGGCTTTTGTGCAAGAAGTTGCTCTGTTGGCAGAATAGGGAGGAAACACGGTCTATACGGGAACACATGGACAGATTGAAAGGCAATTTTGAGATGACGTGGCAGCTCTTGTGAGGCGAGTTACAAAGAAAGTTTGATGTGGTATATAGCCCTAGAACTGGCATGTGTCCATTTTTAATGACGACCTAGACCAAGCCACACTTTAAACAGCCTGACCACAGCCTCGTACAGTTGGGAGCACTTCATTCCTAAAGACCTATTGTGGATAAAAATGGAAAGAAACAGAAGTCCTGAGGGACTGCGAAATACCCAGTAGTCTTAACGAAGAATGCAGTTTGACTCACATTCCTGCCCAGGCTGATTCAATAAAAATAATACACACTAGTTGGCCAACAAATATGGCTTTTTCAGCCTTCTTTAACAAACTTCTTGTATTTTTGCCTTTGTTCTGATTTCTTGGTACTGTCACACTAATTTTCTTTTGGTCTAAACTGCCTCTCAAATGCTTCAGTATGTCTTCGTAATGGCCTGAAGGAGAGAACGTCTTAGTGCTGTCTTACAGTAGATATCTGAAAGACCAGGCACAAGGGGCTTACCTACTTCAGTCCACAGTGCAACAGGGGCAGGTTTTAACACAGAGGAAAGCTAGCATGACAGCCCCAGAATGTGATTTTCTTTTCCATGTTAGCTCATACTCAAAGAGGAAGGTGTCTGTTCCAGAAGTTCCAGAATATTGACAGAACTACAGCACGTGGAAATAATGCCTAATGAGAGCCTGAATGTCTTCCTTTATTCTCCTAAGCCAATTCTCGGCAAAACACAGAGGCACAAATAGTGGTGTCAAATAAGGAGACAGAGGAGGCCCAGTCACAGAGCACCATAAAGGAGAAGCCTGGGGAACAGACCATAGAGAGGTAAACTAAGAGACTTTATTGGCCTTTCTGATGTTGACGATGATGCTAATCAAAAAGCACACCTACCCAGTGTACCTGAGTGCAGGTCTTAAATGAAGTCAGCTGTTCTACAGGGCATAGTCAATAACTGGGTCAATTAATGATCAAACCATTAGCATGCTTATTGTGGTAAGATTCCATGGTGGCGCATGCTAGGCAGTCAGCTGTTTCGCTGAGCTGTTTTTATTTATTGATTTCTACACGGTTCAGCCACTCTGTCTTTATCAAGTAATTAGCAACTTTTAATTGATCCCCAAACCTCAAAAGAATTGCCTTATTTTTCAGTTAATTTCTTTTCTTCAGAAAGCTTTTTTTATTTGATTGGGGTGCTTGTTTCCTGTCTGTACCACAGACGCGTTGACAGAACTCAAGAATACAAATGCAAAAGTCGGGAGAGTTTTTCGCTCCTGAAAATGGATAGTGGTGAAATCAGTCTATGGGGGTAAACTGTCTGAATAAAACCAAGGTGACAGATGCGAAATCAGTGGATCTCACAAAACGTTGAATTTTTTTGTTTTTAGTGCTGATACATTGAAACATTTTTTTTAATAAATTTAAAAATAAATTACATTGTTTTGTTTCATTGTCTTCATTTGTATCACTGCGATTTCTTTTCGAAGTGAAAAGCCATTGTCTGACAGGAGTCCACGTCCCGTCTCGCCTGTCTTTTTCCTCAGCCTGCCGGTGCCGGTCTTGAACGGCGTCCAGCCCACCAAGCATGAGAACGGCCTGTCCATGAAGGGGGAGGGCCCCGACTTTGAGGAGATCATCGAACTGGCCAATCACAGCAGCGGCAGCCATGGAGGGCCGGAGAAATCGGCGAGCGAGATCCCCAGTGAGCCAATCCTGGCCTTCGAGGGGGCGGAGCCCTTCCTGAAGAAAGCCGGCCCCCTCAAGCCCCAGCAAGTCGCAGGTACTGAGAGCAGAGCGGCCCTCCTTCGGGTGAACGGTGACGTTATCGCAGCACCATGCGGTGAAAACAAGGTTCACCACAGGAAAAGCACTGCAAAATGACGGTAGATTTGGGGTAAAATGTTTGGAAGAACAGTGTAGAAGGTAAAAAAAAAGGCAAAATATGTAACATTAACATGTATTTATAAACGTAAACGTTTGGAAGAAAAAGGAAAACACCTGCTCAGGAGAATATTATTTCCCTCAAATTTTTACCCACTTACATTCTTAGAGCACTTTGAATGTGCAGTCAGATTTCCACTGAGAATATGAGGGCACTGCCTGTACTTTGCTTTTTCAGAGTAAGATATCCGATAAAACAACATTACAAGGCTGTTTGTCATAATGCTGTCATACTGCATCACTCTTTAATTACAGGGACTGAGTATTAAAACAAGCTTTGTATTCCAGTTTTGTATAATAATTATTGTCTATAATTAACTGTGTTTGAAGGCGAATGTGAACAGAACACCCATATTGGCTGAATCTTTTTTATTTAATTTTTTTTTCTTCAGTGAAAGTAGTATGTGAACTTAGAACAGAGGCAACCTGTTTGTGCACATGATCATGGAAACCAGAATTCCACTCCAGTGGAAAAAACCCCGCTGTTTGGAGTTAGTGTGAGCAGAGGGGAGTGATACCGAAGAATTAGACTGGGTGCTTTGCTCATCCAAACTATTTCACTGTAGTGTTTCGGCCCCAAATTCCCACATTCTTTGCTCATGAGTCTCAGCAAGCAGAGGGTCCTGGGAGAAGTCAGTGCGAAATTCCCATCTGGATGTGGGAGAACCAGTCAGCAGTACTGCTCCAGACCTGGCATGCTTTCCTGGAAAGGGGATCCTGCCCCAGGAATCCCAGTTCCTCCCTGGCTGGGATTCTCGGTATCGCAGCCACATCGAAGCAGAGTCACTCTTCACCTGTCGCTGCTGAAGACAGCCTTGTCATTCATAATCAGCTAAATGAGCCTGAGACATGGCAGTCTCACAAATTGGAGGAATTCTGAAGCAGGGAAAGCTAATTTAATCATCCCCCAGTCTTTAGCACACTTATCCTAAGTGTGGAAAGAGACGGTAAATTATAAGGTGCTTAAATGCTCAGTACCTCCTTTTAATTTAAAGTGTTCTGTGACTGTAAAGCAGAACCTTTTAGCTTTTTTCCCATCCTCAAGCAGCTTTCCAACTTATGAAAAGGACAAGGTGCCAAGAACAAGCAATTGATTTAAAGACCTCTGACTGGGAAACAATATTGAAGCTCCTGTTGGACTAATTCAATGTATTTTAACTGAAGATGAGTGATAGCATTGTTTATCTGCCACAGCTTTATACTGTCATTTCACTTGTCTGAAATGTTCAAGATTATGATTTTTTTTTTTATTGGTACTTAAACAGCACTTTTTAAAGCAAACATGTAAATGTTTTCTATGTTTATTTGCTAATTCTACAATCTTAGTTTGCTAGCAACGGTGCTCTTGTCTGTACAAGAGCTTTGAAATAACAGCCTCTATGAGAGTTATGTTCTAGTGTCCACAGGTTTCCTCACATAATCATTCTAGTAGTTGTTCAAAGGTGGAGAAATGGGTGACTTGAATAGTGAGATGTAGACCCCCCCCCCCCTTAAATGAGGAATGAGCCAGGGAGCTGCTGCAAGGTTGAATGCTGGTGGAGAGAGGGATGTGGGAAAGAAAAGGACAAACAAGTCTGGTAGAAGTGTTACCAAGTCTGTCGGAAAGTGTTTATATGTAGGTGGGCAGAAATGGGCAAGCATAGTAATTTTTCTTAAAGGTTGAGTCTTATATTTTTGTCTTCAGCTGTGACAGTGAAGCAGAGATTCTGCACGCTGCATTTATGCCTCTTGACTTAAGAGCAAGCAGGATGAAAAGGCCTATTAAGGCTGGAAACCACGTGTTTGAACAGGAGCAGGCCATATCCTGTTTTTCACAACACTGGCAAAAACACTCAGACTCTTTCCTTTTCTTTTCAGAGGTCCTGTGAGCTGCACAGCCACCTACCACTTGCAACGGTCACCACTGGGCAGATGAACAACTCTACACAGCACAGCTTCAGGAGAGAAATGTGCAGAAACAAATAAAGACCAGCGACGGCTTTTTAGGGTCAACAAAACTGTAAAAGCAGAAGAAGATCGAAACGACGCGTACTTCCAAGAAGAATGAGGAATAACTCAAGAGAAGGAATTTGCAAAATCAGAGAATTGTCATACATGTCAACTTCACTTCAGATGAGTTTTATTTTACTGAAAGGAATATCACATGCAGTTTTTAACATGCACCATAAAAGACTGACAGCTTAATCCATTGTAGAAAACACAAAAGCAGAACAGCCACAATATTTTGACTATTATTATAATTATGAGTTCGACAAAGAAGTGTGTTGGTTATTTTGTCTTTAATAATTTAGTTATTTAACTTGGAAAATGTAAGCAACTACTGGGTACAGTGTATGTGAATAATGTAAATAAACCTCACAGTGGTCCACCAGGATACTTCGGTGAGCTACGTCTAATAAAGGTTTATGAACAGGACTTGGCATTCTGCATCTCTTGTAGCAGGAGACCTTTCAAACAGCTGTTCTTTGAGGCTAGGACCCCCTCCCCTTCCTGCCCCTGAGGGCCACAATCCCAGCAGCCTTTTCTTGACCCGTTTAAAATGAGCAGGTTATGGAAATCACTCTAAGTGAGCCTTATTTGGATTAATTTAAACCCTTGTAGAGTCCACATCCACTGGAGACCTTTTTGCTGCGCAGAAGAGGTGTTTATTGTATATATGGGCACAGGGAAGCACCCTCCTTGCAATTAGGAAGATGGCTCCAACAAGAAACGTTACAGCTGACCTTTTATACACTTACTAGATAAGGAATACAAAGAGCTTAAGTCTCAAAGTGGGGGAAAAAAAACTTGTCTTAATTTCTATTGGTTAAACAAACTCCTGCTTTGATCGGAAGATGTCTACGTAACTAAGCTATATCAGTGTTTTTTTCAAGCAGGTAGTTATAATTGGCCTTCTACACAAAATAATTCTTTGAGATTCTTAAAACAAGCATTCTTTGTGTCTGCAGGCCCCTAGTCTTATCAGCAGACGATACTGAAATGTAGCAGCTGGCATTTTGCTGAAACAGAGAAGAGAATGTTTAACCCTTCACCCTCAAGTCTTGCATTGCTGCTATGTGTGTCCTCCTAAGAATACAAGAACAGCGACAAACTAAAGAAGGCCTTTAGGCAAATCTAGACCCTGTGGTAGGTAGTAGCCAATTGATCCAAAAATCTCATCAGGGCATTTCTTGTGTGAAGTCTGGCTTCAACAACATGCCTGGCCAGCTTGTCCAATACTCCCATAGCCCTTGAGCGTAAAAGAAGTGCCTCCTGTTCTCAGTTTCAAAAGCACTTCCATACAGTGTCCACTTGTGTGCTCACTACACTGTTCATACTGAAGAAGACCGCTAGGTTAACTTTGTCAAAGCCTTTGAGGATTTTAAATATTAGTGTGTAGTTCTTTGTAATCTTCTGTGATCAAGACTAAAAAGGTTCAGCTGCTTCAGCCTGTCAGAGTAAGACATTCCCGTAAGCCCTAGTATGTATCTGGTGGCTCTTCTCTGGACTGATTCCAGAGCAGCTATGTTTTTTCTGTAACTTGTAACTTGACTGAAAGGGTTCACAGTATTCTAAGTGAGGCCTTACTAGTGCATTATTCAATTTTCAATATTCGAGGACTGCAGTCCTTGAGCCCAGATGTGTCTTTTCTCGCCAGGGGAATGACTATAAGTCTGTCTGTGACACTGCTCTTCCTTTACCTCTCTGCCTGTCTGGGGAATGAGAAGCGTACGTCTAGACAAGCAGACAAACAAATTTTGGAGTCTGGTACAAATGTGTTAAGTCCGGTCTGTGAATTTTAAAATTTTGATGCTCTTCCACCATGAAATGGTTCAATTGTTACATACTGTGCAGCTTGCAAGTGCAAAACTGGCCATCTATTGGAAACACTTGTCATTATTAAATACGTTTAGCAAACAGCTGCTGTTAGAGTTGCTTTACATTTTTTTGAACACTCCTTCATGCTGGCTAGTGTTAAGCAGATGCCCTGGTGAAATCACTAGTTTTAAGATAGAGGGGCTTGAATGTGCGTCTGTTTGCCTAGGTATCCGTGCTGGTGTTAGATGTCTTCCTTTTATTACAATCGACTCAGTGTGCTTGGGTTGGGGGCTGTGAGTGCGCACAGATGAGAGCCGAAGAGAAAGGGCTGATGAACAAGGTGCAAGTGTGTCTCGACGGCTCAATTTTAAATAAAGGTTAATAGTTTATTATTAATCCCACGATCTATATCCCACACTTTTAATACTTACACTTTTGGGGAGTTAGACTTTTTCAAGCCTGTGTTTCTCCCTCCTCAGTGGTAGGAAACATTTTTTTACCTTGTCTTGAATGTTATCTAATGCTATTGAAAAATGAGTTATTATCGTGAGGTCCTAATTCTGTTAAGTGTGCTGTGCGGAAGTCAATAATATATTGATTCAGTGGGCTTTGTGGCTGACAAGTGGAAAGAAACATTTCAGCCATTAAGCCTTCTTCAGACGTGAGGGAGAGAGAGCAGGGATATAAGCCAGAGAAGTACAAGGGACAGGGCAGTTGAGAGTGGATAATGGATTATATCCCTGCTAATTTCTTCTCTCTCCCTCACATCTGACGAAGGCTTAATGACTGAAACATTTTTCTTCTTGCTACTTTCCAGCAAGAAAGTATTGATGGTATTGGTCTTTATTTAGTCCTTTGCACCAAAACATGCTCAAGCAGCCTCCTTCTCATATGTATTAATGTTGATATTAGAAGTACTTACATCCCTCGTCTATCTCCAAGTTTTGTCCAAGATTTGAGAGGGAACTTGGCAGGGCTTCGAGGGAGAGGATAATCTGTGCTTCGGTTTATACTTTACTGTTATGACTTTGCCTCTTGATCAGTTTATTAAACTGCAAAAAAAATGTAAACATCCCAAAATAAGTCATTTTTGAGTGTCAGGCGTGGTTTGCAAAGGACAGTTAGCAGTTAATTAAAACAGGAAAGCGCGTGCGGCCCACTCACCAGATTCCTTACTGCAGCAGAGCTGTGCGGCTCATGGTCGTGAAGCAGCCTGTGGCTCTGATCACACATGCCTGGCCCCTGAAAGAGTGAGTGGGATCTGATACCTTTCATGGCAGGATAGGAGAAATTCAGACTTTAAGATGATTCTAAAAAGGGTAATCGACGCATCTTTTCCCGGCCTGGTTACAACGGTTTATTGCCCGATAACTAACCCCCCCTCTTGAATAGGGATTGTACTGGGAAAAGCAGCCAAAGGGATTAGTCACCCCAGACAGGAGCTGTTCCTCAGGGCAGGGAAAGGCGAAAGAATATTTCAGCTGTTACTTTACACCCTGTCCCATTGTCCACGTTTGTGCAGAGGCCTCCATCCACTTGCCAGCTGGTGTGACCCTCTTGTTTTTACAGGACAATCAGCTGTTCCTTTAGTTCATAGAAACACGTTTGTAATTGCCTTCTCCGCTCCTGATAAGACTGCGTGTCCTACAGCCACTGTGCATGCACTTCAGAAATGTATCATCTCAAAGTAACTTTAGGTTTTTTATGTTTCTTGTGAACTAGACAGAACCAGTTTTGTGTTTGCCGAATTATTAAGCCACAGACATTTACAACTTGAATACAGAGAAGTCATTTTCTGTTCTAGACGGTTGCAGCTTGGTTGCAATACCTGTCATGTCCGTGTGGTGGCGCCATGCCTCTTCACAGTACAGTGGAATCACCAGAACCACATACTTCAAAGTAGCTTTCATGTTATAAAAGGTGTTTACTTTTTATTTTACTACATTTTATGAACATAAAGATGTTAAGATACAAATTGTGTTTAATATATAAATATTGTTTGACAAACAATAACAGGGTCTTATCTCTCTCACTGCGATATTTGGTGTCAGTACTGTAGGTCTCTCCAGACCTGCATCCTATTTTTAGTAGTGTGTCAGCAGCTGTTGACTAATGGCTCTGGGCAGTGCCAGGCTTTTTAATTCATACAGCATTGTAAGAATGAGATTTACAGGGCTCTGATGGGCACATGTGAACAAATCTCTTGATTAATCACCATAACCTTATCCCACGCAACAGATAGTTTTATTTTTCTAAGTTCTTCTCATGTGAAGAGTGGTTTGCACTGTGGTCATCTGTATTTATGCACACAAATAACTTTTTAGTTTTGTTAAAAAATGGTTAGAAGTAATTACTGCTCATTATTTTGCCATGCACAATGTGTTCCTCTTGGACCAGTTTACTCCTGAGGTACAGTATGAACCCACTTGCTGTAAAGGCAGGCATGGTAGCACCTCTACAAATGTCAGGTCTGGTTTTGGTGGTTTTAGAAAGAGGCTTAATGGACTGTCCAGGTGATTAATATTCTTGTGAAATGTCAGCATGTTAGTCTCGGTTTCCTATTTCATAAGCTGAGATTTGTCACCCGGGCCAGCGAATTCTTCCTTCTTCTTCAGGAATTCTTATTTTTCTTCTCTCTCTCACCTGCAGACCTGTTGGTGCTTAAACATCTGAAAAGTCCTGAGCATCTGAAGTAAATGTGTCAACACAGAGAGGTTGTGGTTGAGGGATCCCTGGGGGCTGTCTGGGGGCAAACTGACGTTCATCCTCTCAGCTGCTGCCCTGTGAGCGCAGCACAAACGTGAAGCTCGCGAATCATAAAGCACCCAGCAGCTGAAGTGTTAAAATCACTTCATTTTAGTGCCAGGCCATTATATCTGCACAACAGTAGACCCGAACACAGCTGTTATCTGAATGAGACATGGGTGGCTAACAGAACGGAAAGCATTCACAATTAAACCCAACTGCTGTCGCATTGACCAGTACATTAACCCACCGTGGTCGTCGTTAATTTCTGCCAATGACCCCAAAGGATTTTGAAATCAGCCAGCGACCCCAGCTGTCCTCCCCAGTCTTTTCAGCAGGCACAGTAAGGTTAGTGACAAACATGGATTCAACAGTTTCATGGTTCAAGGTATACAGGATGTTATGATGTGTTAAACAAATGTCCGCTGCTCGCGGGATTTATGTTTCTTGTTACTTCATCATCTGTTGCTGATGAAGGCCTGGGGTGTAACTTATCCGTTGGCAGTTCTCTAAGGTCTCGCTCCACGTTGGAGATCAGTGATGGCCTAACGGCTACAGTTCAAACCACTTGCCTAAAACTGCCGGACTCAGAGTGGACACTCTTCTTATGTTTACATGCTTTTGACGGAACTTTTTAGGAACTTGTATTGCCAGAGCCGCATTAGGAAAACATAAGCAAATAGCTCTTGTGGGTGGAGGAGAAAGATTTAGAAAATAATATATTCTACTTATACTATTGACGGTTTAATATAAAAATGTTAGGAGAAATTGCACTTAATAGGTAATGTATTATTTTACATAGTAAACATACAGTACACACACTACATAGATCAGTGTATCTGATTCCTTTTTTAAAATAATTTCCCCCAGCTTACTTAATTACTTAATAGGTAATGTAAATGTAACAAATTAATTTCCCCCATGACTAGCTATTGTAGGATTGTGTACCCACCAGATTGCATCAATGCGGGTTTGTCAGTGCCACTTGATAAATTTAGGCACTCAATGTTGTTTAACTTCTTTGAAGGCCAACAGTTTAGAATGTAACTGAATTTTGATTCCCAGCTTCCTCAAAGTTTACAGCACATGGCCATGAAGCTTCTCTCTGTGCAAAGAAAGAAAAGGATAACCTGTGGATTTGAGCAACATTAGATGTGTTTGCGTGGTTTCAAACAAGGGGGACATTGTTACCTTCTCCAGTGCTGGACTCACTTCGTGGCAAACTTTCTTCTGTTTGGCACGTTTTCAGTGACATCATGGTTTACTTTGTTCTCTGCTTTTTTAGCTCTGTTCCAGAAAAAAAAAAGTACTGTAAAACCAGCTTCAAAACTTCCTTAAACGATGTGTGTGCCAGGAAAAGGTCTTTGTGCTGTGTTATACTTGTCCCAAGACAACAATTTTCCTTACCCATTGTGCACAAGCTAAACAACAACAACAAAGAAAGATCTCTACCAGTGGTAACAAAAAAAAAAAGTCCAGGATGACTGTAGCTTCTTTTCAGAGGGAGATTTCCAATCAGGGGCAGATGCTCTTGAGTCATCAAGGAGCAAAATGTTTGAGGCAGGAGATGAAACCACACAGCCATTTTGTTCCTGCTTCTTTTAGGGACCCTACAGTAATATTCACTGACAGGGAGCCAAACACTATACAACTGGGCACAAGCAAATATTTACAAAGAACTGTGCAGGCCCTGTTACTCCTGGAGAAACAAGCTGCTGGGTGACGTTCTTAGCAAGGAAGGAAAAAAGATCTGGTTTTAAATTAAAAATAATATTCCCTTGATGAAGAGACCTTTTGACTTCTAATTAAAAACAGCAGCCATAATTGTAATAATTCTAACAATAATATTGCCACCTCCTGAGTGATTACATACACAATAGTTTAGTGTTATGTGGCCTACCTCTGTCCTGCATTTTGATTTAATTTCTTCTGTAAAGGCACCAGTGTTGCATTGTGGCATCTGGCTGCTGTCTCACAGAGGAAAAGTGCAGAATTACTCTGATAACACAGTGAAAAGCAGAAAAACAAGGTAGAGAGCTTGAGCGATTTGCAGCTAAATAGAGGTAAGAAAGACTGGTTTCACTTGAAGGCCTTTAAATGGATCTGGAGCAGTTTGAAGTGTCAAAGAGGCAGCATGGTGACAGTAACTTGCCAGCCAGTTTGCCCCTGTAGCCTCCCTACAACACCAATGGGCAACAAAGTGAGTGCAGCTCTGCGCAGAGCTCAGATCAGATTAGTCCTGCTTCAGTCGGCAGAGAGCCCTTGCTAATTATTTTCTTCATCTGCAGTTAAGATACTGTAGGCGCGCCCGGGGCCTGCTGAAATTGGAGCTGTGGGGTTATGCCAGCAACACC